TACTTTGAATTCATCCAGTTTAGGTACAAGACTTCTCATATTTAAATGACAGATTTTAAAGCCTTCCTAAAGGAAAATCACTTTTGCTTTCTTAATGATGAAGTGTTCAGACTTGACATAACAGGAGGTTGTCTAACCTTTTCACAAACCCAGGTCAAGATAATTATTAAAAACATATATATAAAATCCCATAAAATATAAAAAAGTGGACATAAGAAACATTTTTATCTGGACCTGGATTAAGTTCAATATTTCCAATGACTAAAAGAATATTAAACAGAAGTCTTAAWTGTTGTTTCCGACTGGTTAAAACAGAGTCTGTTATATCCGTGCCTTTATCACTAATGTCTTTTGTCCACTGATGAAAAACAGTAACATAGGCTGAAATAACTACCTGATCAGGTGAGGTTCTGAAGCCAGTCAGTAGCTTGCTGTTCTTTTCTTCGCTGAATGGCGCACACTTTAAGGCTTGAATAACATTAATGATTAATGGGATTCTTACTGCTGAAGATTGTCTCTTAAGTGTCACAGGTAAACTACAGTAAATAAAGAAAAGAAGTTTTAGATTTTCACACAGATCATCTTTTGAGAGAACAAAGCTATTTTCCTGTCTCTACTTGTTAAACTGTAATATTTGTTTAGAGAAGGGTGTTAGTGTTTTCCTACTAAAATCATGTTTTTTTTATCAACCACAGTTTAATTAATGCGTGAAAGAATTAAATATTGTTCGGGCAAACGTGGCTGCAGGGACATGGGTCTGCTTGTGTTCAGCAGCAGGTTTCTGCTTAATGAGACCAGAGGAGAGTCTGATGAGTCCGCTCTGATTTCAGCTCTGGATCGATCAGAGACCAGGAGAGATGGAGGCTTCAAGCACAGCTGGGGCTGTTCTCTTCATGCAGACACTGAAGAGGAAAAGACTCACCAGTAAGAAACTCCTCTCAGCTGCTTTCAGCTCCTCTCAGCTCCTCTCAGCCACTTTCAGCTCCTCTCAGCTGCTTTTAGCTACTTTCAGCTCCTCTCAGCTCCTCTCAGCTGCTTTTAGCTGCTTTCAGCTGCTTTCAGCTCCTCTCAGCCACTTTCAGCTCCTCTCAGCTGTTTTTAGCTGCTTTCAGCTCCTCTCAGCTGTTTTTAGCTGCTTTCAGCTCCTCTCAGCCACTTTCAGGTCCTCTCAGCTGCTTTTAGCTGCTTTCAGCTCCTCTCAGCCACTTTCAGGTCCTCTCAGCTGCTTTTAGCTGCTTTCAGGTCCTCTCAGCCACTTTCAGCTCCTCTCAGCCACTTTCAGCTCCTCTCAGCTGCTTTCAGCTCCTCTCAGCTCCTCTCAGCTGCTTTCAGCTCCTCTCAGCTGCTTTCAGCTCCTCTCAGCCACTTTCAGCTCCTCTCAGCCACTTTCAGCTCCTCTCAGCCACTTTCAGCTCCTCTCAGCCACTTTCAGCTCCTCTCAGCCACTTTCAGCTCCTCTCAGCCACTTTCAG